TTCAAATGTATGGTATGTGTGGAGAGGGATCATGTGATAGAAAACGTCTTAGTGTTAAAACCTCCATGCCTATGGAGAGCTAGAATAACCAGCACAAAATATTCCAGCTTGTGCAAAGTGTTGCATGTTGGTCTTCTATCAGCAGTGGAGGAGCTCCCAAATACTACCTGTTTTGTGTTAGTGGAATGATACATGTTGCATTGCTTTTTAACATAACCCCAGATCAGCACCCACTGTAGCTTGAATCTTGTTAGTGCTCTGATTTTTAGCCAATAAAAGAGAGGAACAGACTATAAACATGCACTGGCCACAGGAGACTTGTGCTTTTCCCTTTTAATAAAAACAAAGATAACTCTAGAGAAGATGGTCTGAGCAACACAGAAAGCTGCTAAATTGTAGAAGGTCATTTTGTGCTAATATATCTTGCAATCCTTCTGAATTTCTCCTTGTTTTTAGAATAAGGTATTTTGTGTTACTTGGTGTGAACATGCTGGAATGAAAAAGCCAAGGGCTAACTAACACCTCCAAATTCAGGAATGTTCCATAATTCATTGAAGTAATAGATGGGTAAATTGAACATAGTGTCTATGTTTTTTACAGTGTTTTAAAGATGACAGCACAAAAGACTCACCGTACCAATGAGAGGTTTAAAACACAAATCAAGTTGTACTTCTCCAGAAGAACACTGAGTGCAGAGCTTTGTTCTGTTTCTATTTTGCTTATGATAGGCTCTAAACTGTAACACGGGAATGCTGTTTGTTTTAGAAACAATAGAAACCATTGTTTAAGTTTTAAAATCAGGTCGCAAATGCCCAATTGACTAAGTAGAGAAGATCTATTTTGCAGGGATATATGCACAGGAGCAGTAATATGAAACATACTTAAATTTCAGATGTTCAATATTAGTGATCTTGTTTGAACGATCTTATTTAGATACAACTGAAGATACAGTAGTTCAAAATTTGATTCCTCTTATGTATATGGTTATAAAATGCTTAGTTTGAATTGTGGATCTTATGCCTAGATATGCATTTTTTTTCCTTTTGGCCTGGTGATACTTCTTAAAGATGTTCACCTAAAAATGTAATAGGGAAATGGATCAAGAAGGTCATTGGGAAAAAAGGCCAACATTCTCTTGTGCAATTTATGTCACTTTGAGGTGAAAGATGTAGCCTTCAACATCAAATTGCCGGTAATTAAAATATTGCTGCTTGAATTCCTCATAATTTAAACCTAATCTCATTGTGCACAAACTGGGTGGTTTCACTTGCATCCTAGAATTGAAGTTGGAGGCTTTTTAATTAGATAGTCACTAATTAAAGAATACTTGCTTTTATTTCAGGTTGTCTGTGAGGCCAGCTACTCATGTGCAGTGATACTGAGTTTAAAGAAAGAGGAATCAAAGCAGAGACTCTTTAATTAGTGTCAATTTGCTTAGCAATTTCAAATAAATAAATAAATAAATAAATAAATAAATAAATAGCACAGCTGCACAGCGAGCAGAATCACTTCAGTTACCTGAAATTACCTACAACAGCATAAATGATTCATCTTGTTAGCACCTAAAGAAACAAACAGTGGCCTGGACCAGATCAGTATCACTGTACATAGAAAAGAGTGGATTAAAGGTTTCTTCTGGCAGTTTTGCCTCTTAAATTTGTAGTTTCCCCACATATATGGGTCAGTCCCAACTCCACTCATGTTAATGGAATTTTAAAATTAAAATATATACATATCTTTTAGGCTTGAGCCTGGTGGCCCTAATCCAGATTGGACTCCTTGAAATTACTTGGAAGTAAGGAGGAGGAGAAACATGAATTTCACACTAGGTATTTAAAGTATCATGTAGTTTGCCCCAAGTAACAAATCCAGGTTTGTTACTTAATGCGTAAATCCTTTCTTTTTATAATACTTATATACTGAAATATAAACATTTTAAGCATTTTACATTAAAATACACCTGTAATGTATAAAACACTGTAAAGCCAATGTACAAGAAGTAAAAACATAAAACATCCCAACAAGAATGGCAGAGAGTATCAGAAGAATTATAATCAACTATGGAAAGTCTAAATAGACATGTACATTTCAGTATTATTACTATTTTTATTTATATGCCACATCTCTCCCAACAAGGGACCCAAAGCAGCTCACAACATTAAAATTCACACAATTAAAATACAGTAAGTTAAATATTAAAAGACAAATTTAACAATATATGATTTAAAATTAAATTAAAAGATCAAAACATTAAAACATGGAAAAGATTAAAATTCAGTTGTAATTGTTAAAAGTCAGTAGGCATTAAAAACTTAGTAGTTTCAGTTCCCAGACCAGTCAATGGAAGATTTTCCAAGGATGGGTATAGTTATTAGCCCAGCTTTTACGAAGCTTTGCATTGCATTCCAATGGATGAAGAACAGTCAATATGGCCTCTCCTGAGGTTTTGGTCAACTGTGAACATATAAGAAAAGTCAGTGGCTTAAACATGTTGGCTATTACATGTTTCAGCATTTGTATACCTGTAACAAAACCATGAATGTTGCCTAATCAATGAAAGGGAGAGAGAGAGAGAGAGAGAGGAGAGTAGTATACATTATTGCCTAAAGGTTGAGTGGGTGAAAGCTGGGACAGAATATATCTGTGCCTGTAAGATATATTCCATGTGCCAGCCCTTCAGTTCTCTGAATATGGCCATCATAATAGAATATATCTGTGCCTATAAGATATATTCCATGTGCCAGCTCTTCAGTTCTCTGAATATGGCCATCATAATGCCCTTCAGTCTTCTGCAGGCTAAACATACCTGACTTCCTCAACCATTCCTCATAGTTTTTGGTGTGTACAAAGTACAAGGCAGCAGGGACTATCATACTTATTTTTTAACCTTCTTAATACTAGTTCAAAGTACAACTGAGCAATATGAGTCATACACTATGCTCAGAAAATGAAGTAATTCTTCCTGTCTCACTTTTAGATCATTCTTATTTCCTTATTGTAACCCTTTGACTAATGGTATTGTGATATGTCCGGTGTAAAAATGGCTTTACTGAGGACTTCGTCAAATTGTAAAGTAAATTTTTTCTTCTGCAATTAAATTGAAATATGTTTGGGGGGTGGGGGTGGGAAAGCCAGCAAAAGAAGTATACAAAGGCAGACAACTTTCCAGAAAGAGTTAATTTTATGCTCTCTGCAGTACCATTTCTCTACTTTTGAGGGGTGATGGCTTTCTAAAAGTAGAAGGTTTGCATTTTATGCCTGAAATGCTTGCTTCATCTATGACCCATCACATATTTATTCTTTCTCAGTTTTGGTTGAAATAAGCCTCGATTTTATGAGATGGGAAGTAAATCTGCACAAAGAATTTCTTTTTATTTCATTGGTCAGTACCATCATGTATTGGTTCTGGAAAAATAATTTTTTTAAATACGAAGTTTGACCCAATTTCACTTTTTACCTATGTGGTGTGAGAACGTCGTCATATCAGTAACATGGCTACATTGGAGTCATATGGGTGACTGAACTTCCCATACCATCCTGTCATCACCCTGCCTTCTCATATTGTTCTTCATTATATCAGTTATTCGACTGGCAGTCCCAGCATTTTTCATTAAATTGGGTCCAATACTGGAAGAGTAATCTTTGAATTGACCCTTTTTATACAGAAAGGAGCTGCCTGGATAGCTCAGTGAACTGGAACACCTGGGATTTTGATTCCCTGCTCTGCCTTGTAGGAAAAAAATCAGCCAGCATGGTTCTGCATGAACTCCACAGTCCCCAAGTGTTCCCAGAAAAGGAGAATGCTAAACTTCAGTTTCTGAGGGCTGTTTCCCTAGAAACCCCTGTAAAAAGTCTTTAGTGGGAATCCACATGATAGCATCATATTGTTGTTGTGCTTCATGTTGTTGTTGCTGCTGCTGTTACTGTTGCTGCTGTTGTTATATAGAAAGTTAAAATAGACTACATTTTACCTGCATAGGGTCTTATACTGGCAAAATAATATTTTGAGTTGGAAAGGTAGAATATTTGTATTTGCTAATCTGTATTATGGTTTTAGCACATATGTTCCTAAAGCTCAATTTTTCCAGCATATGCAGTTACTTATATTTATCCAACCATTGTCTCACGTGCATGCAAAAAAATGGCTTGCTTATGCCTGTACCCCTATGTATGCCCTTAAATGGTGCTCAAAATGATTCCCTAACCACCACTAGCAGCTTTTTGGGAAGGGGCTGCCTTGGCCACAGAGGGAATGAAAGCCCTGTTTGTGCACGTAGAATACTGCACAAGATCTTTTAGAGCCTAGCCTTTGTATTCCACCTACAAGTCACTTCATATTTCTTCAGTAATTGGTTAATGATGTGGGTAACAGGCAGCTGAATGTGCCATTTGACTGAACTGAAAAGACATAGGTTTTAAGGTATTGTGAACATTGTTTCTATACTTTTATATATAATTGTACCTATATCACTATAATCACCTGAATATGAGTGATCAAATAGTGTGAACAGGTTTGAGTAAACAAAATCACTACAGCTAATTTGTACAAAGGATTTTCAGAAGCAAAATACAGCAGAACCCTGATATCTGCTGTGGATTGGTTCCATGTCCCCCTGTGGATACTGAAAACCATGGATAATAGTGAATGCTATATACATAGAATGGCAGAAGAAAAACCAGAATATAATTTCCCCATGCATTACCAGAACTGCCCACTAGAGGGCATCAGAGATAATGCTATGTATTCTTCACTAATAAGTATTCATAGCATGGTCTCTGGCTCCCTCTATTGGCTGGTTCTGGTAATACATGTGGAAATGTTTTTTTTTCAGGATTTATTTTCCTTTAATATTTTTAATATTTTCAATTTATGGATAAGTGAATCAGTGGATACTGAACCTGAGTATGAGGGGGTCCTACTGTAATGCATTGTAACATACTGCATCACATTTTTATCCCAGATTTCTTCCTTAGCACTGATACTCATCATTTTCTTACAGGTGCCTGAGATCATAAGCACCATCAGACAAGCTGGGAAGATTGCAAGGCAGGAAGAGGTTCAGAATAATCTTTCAGATGTTGAAGATCCTTTTCGTAAAAAATTTGAGGTGCTGTTCTGTGGCCGAATAACAGTAGCGCACAAAAATGCACCCCCAGCACTTATAGATGAATGTATCGAAAAATTTAATGATGTTAGTTATACCAAAAATTTGGACTCTGGTTCATTTTCCCAACAACATGAAACTGCCAACCAATCTGGAGGATTTTCCATACGTGATAAATTCCGCTCTGTCTTCCAACCCTTGATTAACGAAGAACAGGAGAAAAGGCCAATGAGGAAATCCTACTCTCAGCCTGGACTGCGTTCTTATGCTTTCAAGAAAGATTTGCAAGCCAGCAGCACAAGGAGTAACAGCTTTGGCAGATCTTTTGATGATGATGTTGTTTCTTTAAACTTAAAAACTCGATTTATCCAAGGGCAAAATGTGCAGCCTACAGATATCGCTGCAAACCGGATTATGTTGTTTACGGTAACAATTTACTTTTGCTAATATTTCTGACTACTGATGAGTTTATAGAAACATACTCACTGGGGACATTACTACTACAGTGGTGTCCAGCTAGACGCTTACCCCGGTAAACAAAGAAATTGCTTGACAATGACTTTTTTGCGATCGCTATTGCGATCGCAAAATGATGGTTCCTATGGGGGAAATCCACTTTATGTTGATTAGGTCCTTGCTTCACGAACCGTTTGTTCACAAAACGATGTTTTTTCCGGCTCCGTAAAATGGCTGTCCTTCGCAAAATGGCTTCCCTCCCTTTGCAAAATGACTGTATTCCGGACAGAAGCTTCGGAAGACAACAATTTTAAACAGCTGATCAGCGGTTCTCTATGGGCGATCTTTGCTGGACGATGAGGTACTTCCCCATTGGAATGCATTAACCGGTTTTCAACGCATTCCAATGGGTTTTTTTCGCATGACAACAATTTCGCTATACAGCAATTTTAACGGAACGGATTATCGTCGTCATGCGGGGCACCACTGTACTACAATTAATTGAGATCTCTCTGTATATGCTAGATGTATGCACATATATACAGTGGCTGAAATCCTATTTGGTAACTTTGGTGAATTGTGGTAAGTTAATAAATCTTCAGAAAGGTTATCTGTTGCATACTATATCATGTGACTCATTGTGCAACATATATGATCTGTAGAGATTTCTTAACATACAGCCACTCACTTCTAAAACTCACGTCATTTGCATAGCTGTGCAGCATGTTTTCAGCCAGTGAGTGATGAAATAAATACTGTGTAGAGTAAAATAGACCTAGTAAACCTGGACAGTAGATATGGGCTATTCTTATTCGTATCCCTGGAGATACAAATACCTACACCACAGGTGCCAGGAAGGCCCATTCCCTATCCCCAAAACCAACCAGTCCACTTCACCGCCTCCCCGCACAGCTGACCACTCATCACTGAACAGGCAGACACCCTGTCCTGCCTCCTCACCAGAGTGGTTGGCTGTGCTGGGAGGCAGGGAAGCACTGGCTGGGTTTCTTCCCAGTGTCACAATGACAATGAAGGACCCCAGAACTGCACAGCAACTGATGCACCTTAAAGCTGAACATAGCCTACAAGCCAGTTATGACTGTGGCTAGTAGCTTGCTTGCACTCCACCCAACTGTGGGTGGGTACATGCAAAAGAATAAGCTTCTTCCTCCTCTCAGGTGACTGAGATTTGATTGTACAGGAGCTCCCTGTATTTACTCAACATGTGGGAGAAGAATGATAATTCAGTAGGAAAATATGTGTTTTGCATGCAGAAACTGAGAAAAAGATCAAATATGAATTGATGGGCCTATGAGTGGACAGTTAGTGGGCCAGAACCAGGATGCAATGAATACTCACTTTTCCCCCCTTTGGTGGAAAAGAGTATATTGGTACATCAAGATACCCCTTTTGAAAAAGAAGTCATCTAATGTGAAAATTTTTGCTCCTGCACAAAAGTAAAAAGACCATGATTTTTTCAAAGCAGCATCATAACCAAAATCAAACAAACCAAAAAATCCTCTTGTTTACACAAATTACATGCATTTTGCAATGAAAACATGTATTTTACATTAAAAACCCCTTATATACAACTTTATGCAAAAACCACTTTTGTGGATTTTTTTAATTGCAAAAAGGGCCCAAAATGCAAAAAATGAACAAAAGTTTTTGGAAACTTGCCCTACATGGCCTTTTTATTCTCATTTGCAGAAACAAAATAAGTAAAGATTTATACTCAAATATAAGGCAGCTTTGTATGTTCTGTATGGGCAAGGGCTTGCTGGACTGAGCTAAGCTCCTACACAAGTATCCTATGCTTTTATCAACAAGACACCCTTAGTAAAAAATTTGCAGCATTATAAAATTAATAGCAAAATGTAAATCCTACTTAAGTCCTTTTTCTGCAAACTAGCAATGCGCTGTAGATAATCTCGAGATGCAGAAAGTACAGGTTAATATTTTTGTCTATGAACTATTGGTAGGGCAGGTAACTAATGATCTCTTTGTTCTTTTTCAGATTGGGCAATCTGAAGTTTACATCATCAGTCCTGACACCAAAAAAGTAGCCATTGAGAAAAGCTTTAAGGAAATTTCCTTTTGCTCTCAGGTAGCAAAATTTTGATTCCTTCTTGGTTTTATGTCACTGATTGACAGATGTTGGTTTTCACATAATTTCTGTGTTAGTAAGAATGCACCAAAGATATGTGCACAATTTAATCCAAGATGTGTGTGCAGGTTAATTGTATAACTGCATTATTGTATCTTTGGATATAATTGGTAGTTCATAGAAATTTCCTCCTGATCATAAATTTATAAGAAATTGTAAGGAGCACAAAATAACAATCCCTAAGAGTTTCTGTAATTAGAATGATTTCGTTTTATTTCTGTTAGCTCAGAACTTGTTGGTAGCAAATACATCAGACCAAATTTAAAACAAATTCTCTACTTTTTGTACAGAATACATTGGCTAATATCTTGTTGGCCTAAATTGGAGTGGAAGGGAAATCATAAGTGTCCTCCCCTTCTTCAGCAAATGCCTCATCTCATGCCCGTTCTTGTGCATGTTGCAACATCAACCATGCAGCTGGTCATGCAGTGGGAGTCTACCAAGGTAGATAAGATTCTTATATGATTTCCCTCCCACTTGGCATTTAGGTGACAGGCATAGCAACTCACACTTAGAGTAGGGCCCTTTGAATCATTAGACCTTATAGAGAAGTCTAGTCACAAAATCCCCATTGAGTCAGTGGGGCGACTTTAGAGTAATTTGCTATGCTAAGCAATGGGATTTTGGCCACTGTGTTGTAGAACTATATTCTTTGTTCACTGTGTGACAGTGCAGGTCTAACTAGAAATATAGCATTCATATAAATTATTTTCCATTTTACTTTCAATTCTGTACTGACATGATTCTGGTTCATTTTCCTGCTTAAGTAACATAAAGCCAGAGTTTCACAGTTTGAATTTAACAGATAATTCTGGCTTAACGCTAACGAGATAAAGTCAATGCAGAAAGAAATTAGGAAAGGAGTAAAGAAGGAAACAGCCATGGGGCTGAACCATTGGTTAATTTAAAAATTGTTGCCTTACAGTTCCATCTTAGATTGTGCTGAAACCATTTTATTATTAAACCTCATGGTTGATTAAAAAAAAAATTTCCCCAACAAGTCATGGTGACATCTGCAGTCAGTACATACCTATTATGGGTCAGCACATACCTATTATTTCTGTGAAATGTCATTCGGTTTCTTTGTTTTTGCTTTCAACAAGTAGAGTCTTGTTTTGCAGATTCTCCAAAGCAGAGGTAAACATCCAGGTTTTGTAGGAATTGTGTTTTATATAGGAATTTTAGGTCCTTATGGGTGAAATCTAAATGAGTACAGCTGTGGTGAATTATAAATGGGGCTACAAAATAAGCTAGCACAAATCCCAGAAATCCCTTTTGTAAAGGAAATTTGTCAAACTTAAAAATGATCTCCTTGGAACTTTTCTGAGTCAGCACTTACTAACTTGCCCTTAAGGTCAAATTCTATCTTTCTCAGACTAACAGGAAATAAATTCCAATGTAATAGTCCAGCTCCCTTTCCCAGTCAGTGTAAATGCTTAGCTCATGGTGTAGCAGTTGGAAGAAAGCTGTACAGATGCTGCTTTTCACTGTTTCGGGAGAAAGAAGGGCTTTTGCTACCACTCCTTGGGGACCAGCCACAGAATCTATATCCATGGTGCTTATTGGCACTGATCCCTTACTCTGTTTAATGCTGCAGCATTGAAAAATCATTCTGTTTTGTTTCTGTCCTTAGTAGCCAAAACAGTATTCTCATTCAACATACGGTATTGTGCTTTAAAAGGAAAAAAGGAAAGGAAAAAAGAAAAGAAAAGAAAATTAAAAATGCACTGCAGATAAAAATTGTGTTATCTGGCAAGCCAAATGAATATTAAGGCCTAAGCAGCTCGGCATCCTTTATGGATATTAAAATATCCTTTCTAGTTATTAAAATGGAACATTTTGGGCATATGAAATTATCTTCTGACTCTTTATTAGTATTGTTTATTTTTTTAAAAAAAAATCACTCTGTATTTCTTACTGTTGACTCCAACTTCCAAGACCCTGTGGAAACAGCATTTGTCCATAAGCACCAAATTATAGCTAGGAAGATAGTGATAGCTGTGTTTATTGCTGAATTTTCGGCAATTTCATCAGCCTTTATTTACCTTATCTTGTGTGTAGGTACATAATATATTATGGGTTTTCACAGAATCCTCATTATGTACATATTATTATTTGTTGCTTTATACTCATTCATATTTGGCTCATGATCATTGCTTTTTGATGGACAATAATATTCCCCACAATGCTGCCCCATTTAGTGCTGTTTCAGTTAGCATTCCTTTTTGCTAGGGTCATATCCTGAGCAGTAAGTGGGGTATTACTGTATGTTTCGATTGTTCTAGTTGCTCTTCTTACCAACTGTGTTGTGTTTTGTTCAGTTCATGGATATCTTGGAATTAAAGCCACAAAGTGGCTAGAACCACAGTGATCCTGTTTAATCCTTTTATCCCATCTTCAGTCTAACCTGGTATTTGATTGGTTTTTCTCAAGAAAAGTACAGGCAGGGAATTTTTGTCGCTCACTTAAAAATTAGACATGGAGATTACACCAGCACTTGTTGAAAAGGAAACCCCCATTCAAGTATTCCCTTTGAATTAAACAACCTTTGCTCAAGCACATTGTAAAATGTTCTCCAAACATTAGTAGAGGGTTTAGTTTAGTTATTTTCTTCATTATTCTTTTTTCTATTTCTGTTTTTGTATGTTTGAATTCAAATTCAAATTTTAAATTTAATTTAAAAAAAAACTCAGCCACTTTGCCAGCACTGTAAACACCTAGCTTAATTTGTGGTTGAGGACATTAATATATGTGCTTTCTCTATTATTTAAAAATGACTGGATGACTGCTTTCTTTTTAATACTTTGCAACTCATAAGAATGGTTGCTGAAATAGGCACTGGGGCTCACACCAAATAACAGAATGTGGGCTTGTAAACATTCAGTTATTCCTAAAGCACACATAATATACATAAATATAACTGATTTTATCTGTCTGTCTGTCTGTCTGTCTATTTTAGGAAGGTATCAGTGTTAATGTGTTGCTGCAAAAACAACTTCTGCCATTTCTAAGGCTAAGAAATTTTATTTGGCATGTGCTTTCATGGATATACAGTAGTCCACTTTCTGCGATACCTTGGGCACAGTATTCAAGCCACAGGTTTATATGCACATTGATGCAGATGTGACAGAATTAGATGAGATATAGGAAATAATGTTTTCATTATTATTAGTGGTTACGATGACCAGTATTCAGAATACAGTTAATATTTTTGATACCGGATGTCGGTACTGGATCAGAAATGCAAACTGCCAACTTCTTGGACTCTTATGTTTTTGAAAAGTATTAAAGTTAATCGAAAGTGACAACTCTGAAACAGTGGGGTCTTGACTTGAGAACTTAATCCGTATTGGAAGGCGGTTCTCAAGTCAAAAAGTCTGTAAGTCAAGTCTCCATTGACCTACAGTGCATTGAAAACCGATTAATCCCGTAACAGGCCGTTTTTGTTCCATTTTGGTTTTTTTCTGGTCTGTAAGTCAAATCTCAGTCTGCAAGTCAAACCTAAATTTTGCGGCCAGAGAAGTCTGTAACTCAAAAAGTCTGTAAGTCAAGCTGTCTGTAAGTCAAGGGTCCACTGTATTTGATTGATTCTTAGTCTTTTCAATCAAATGTGTAGAACAGGAATGATTCCTGAAATTTGATTGAGGTCAACCATTATGATGTTATCTGAAAAGGAAAATGCCAAAGCTTGCACAGGATATGAAATGATGAGCTTAATGAGCAAGATGCAAAATGTTTCTCAGATAATACATGGTAGAAATGTGAAGAAAGGGCAGAAGCCATACAATTTCCATTGAGAGGCAGATTTGGAACTATTCTGCTTACATGTGCTTGTGAAGATATGTCATGTCATGAGTGGAAATATATACTTGCTTTATTGACTACAAGTAAGTAGAGATGGACATGATTTAAGTCACACTGCATTGTATGACTTGCACCACATGGCACCACAGCTACCATGCATTCCGTCCGACTACCCCCTGGCCGGCTGCCCCACTTGCAAGCCTCAGTGTGGCATCTGGTTTGTCCTCCATCACCAGCTGCTCAGCCCAGGAGGGAGCTCAAGCTTCCCTTTCCCACCTCCTCTGGAAGGTGATAACTCTACCGCCATTATTTTATTTATTTATTTGATTTATACCCCGCCTATCTGGACCACGAGTCCACTCTAGGCGGCCATGCAGAGAGACTCCCAGTCCTGCCTTCTTGCCTGAATGGTCAGCTGCTGGAGAAGGTACTGTATATGATGCACTTACATCATGTCCAACTCTACAAGAAAGCCTTTGACAACGTTCAGCATGGGAAGTTGATGGAATTGTTGGTAAATACAGGTCTTGATTCAAGATATATTTATAGAATAGCCTGGATTTTGGCTGAAACAAAAAATAGTCATAGAAAAAAAAACCCAACCTGCAGTAAAAGTTGAAGATCAGATGACAAGAGGACATAGAGGTATGAAGACAAACATGATGAGGATGTAAATTGTCACCACTGCTTTTTAATTTGTATTTGAAGAAAATCTTCAGAGCAGAACCTGTTGTTGTTCTCTATCATTGTCAATAGAGAACAACAACATCCAGTATGCTGGTGATGCTGACAACCTGGGAGCAGCCACAGGAAGACCCTCTCTATCTTCCTACAAATGGGCCTGTCAGGGCATGGGGCTTGAGAGAAGGGCATCCCCTAAAGATCTTAGGTGCCAAGAAGACTTAAACAATCCTCCAGATAGCCTAGACCCCCTTGTGTAGGGGCATCTCAAGTCTGCTGCACAACTGGGTCCTTTGATGCAACTGGTTTACTGAGATCAGCCAGCAGAAGAGCCAAAATGGAGAGGGGGAAGTGGAAGCAAAGAGGAAGAATGTGGAATATTTAAATTACTCTAAATTTAGACTCCCCTCAGCCCGTATAATAGCCACAATACTGGCTCAAAGTTAAGCCAGGGTCAGAATGGTGCTAAGTAGTTTCCAACTTCTTTGTGCTGGGAGGGGTTTAAATCCACCCCAGCCAGCTTGGTGTCAGCTGAGCCTGCCCTAGGCCATCCTGGTTAGTTAGATTTGTGGCTGAAGTCTTCAGCCAGTCACACTGGTGCAGAAAATGGAGAAAGAAGGGCAGAAGAGTCTTGGCACTTCAAAATTTGAACTGTTTAAACTAACTTTTAAAACCATCCTATGATGAATGAATTTTGAGACATTATGGCTGGATTGCTCCTTGCCACAATTTTTATTAAATTTAGTGTTTTTAGAGGTGTTTGGAGAGAATGGATCAATACTCTCTTAATGCATTGAAGAGTTACTGGTGAAGGAAAAGAAAATGAACGAACTGACAACCACCAATATAGCAGGTTCTTCAGAATTTAATTTCTGAAACACTTGTTGGATGTCCATTTTTATAATGAAAGGTTAGCACAGAAATGAAGTACTGCAGTGAATATCGGATGTTGGAATATCAGGACAAAAACAGTTCCTTCATTGCAGTTAACATATTTTGCACACCTGTAACTAAACTTTGTATGTTAGAATGCTGCTTACTGTGAACTAGATCCATTCATATCATCAACCTTTTTTGTTACAGGGAATCAGACATGTAGATCACTTCGGATTTATCTGCAGAGAATCTTCAGAAAATGGAGGGTTCCATTTTGTCTGTTATGTGTTTCAGTGTACAGATGAGGCCTTGGTGAGAGTCTCTTGGAAAATGTTATAAAATGTATTTACAGCGTTACTAATTACCACAAAACATTTTACCAATTTAATCACCTGCAGAAGGTACAGCTGCTTTAAAGGCTGAGGATTGTTACATATTTTTAATAGCTAAGAGAAGCTTAAGCTCCTGTACTGTAGTCTTTTTCCCTGTAATTATTGAGACATTGTTCCTAGTATTGAATTCCAACAGTTACATCTCTAATTAAGATTAAACTAATCCACACAACCATTTAGTGGTGAGATGTGTATATTACTGGATAAATCCAGTGACAGTCTTAGGGTTCTAGACTAGATCTTGTGCAAGGATCAGTCTAACTTCAGAAGCATTGTGGCTCTTCAGCAGCCTACTGCATGGGGTAGAGGAGGAAGAGAGGGAAAGAGTGAGCTTCGATGGCATAAGAAATGGGCTTGCTAGTTTTGGCCCTCAATCTGTCCACCCCTAGTTTCAGCTCCAACAGACTATCCCTGAGAGAACTGGGAATGTGAAGAACTTTCATGGAATTGCTTGTTCTTGCTAATCTAGACTGTCTCAATTCGACAAGACAATGTGACAAGGAATGTTTAAGCCCTGCAAGATTCTTGGTTCCAGGAGAGAACAAGACAGAGGAGTATTGTTTTGTGCATCAGTGTCTTAGTAGTTTGTGCACACTGTTTCTGTGCAAAGCTAATGTCTTTTCACTTCAAGAAGAGAGCACACACACACAAAGAGTAAACACAGAAGATTGGTTGATAGTTTTAAAAGTACAAAGAGTGGATGTCTGTCATCTTTCAACATTCATGCAATAAAGCAGCTGTCTTTGTGCAATTTTGCACAATTTGAGTTACAATATCATTTGTGTTGTATTATTTGTCTACACTTCTTTAATATGCCCCAAAATTGTTCTCAGTCATTCCCTTCCCACAAATACTTTGTCCTTTCATGGTTTAAAAATAACAATTCTATGCTTGAACTCAAGGAGAAAACAAATGATGATTGTCCATTAACAGAAACAACAAAACCCACTCCAAGGGTAATGGGTGACACTGAATGTGCAGCAAAGAGATACAGTTTCGCATACTCAGGAGACAGGGGTTCAAATATCTGCTTCTCCATTGAAAATCATGGAGAGGTGGGTGTGGCAGTGGTAAAACCACTCTTTACATATCTCACATACCTTGAAAACTCTATTAGAATCACTTGAATTTGGAAGTACTTGATGGGACATAATACATACTCTATTGTTGACACCAATTTTGGGAGTTCTGTTATGTTCTAATAAACAGTCAGTTGTATCATTATTATTACTCAGAATTTATCTAGTGATACTATCAACAATAAAACATGAGACGTTCCCCAAGCAAGAATAATCCACAAAAACAGCAAACATAATAAATCAGATCTGATTTGCAAGATGATATTATAAAAGATGTTCCAGTTTGGGAGTAGATTTAGAACTCATCCCGTAGTCAAACATGTCACCTAAGTAATATGTATTAGTGAATTCAGCAATGTATTTACATCCTTACATAATATACTTTTCAGAATAGTGTTCTAAAATAAAGCAAACCTAAAGTAATGCTACATGCATTAATTCTACTTTTTGTTGGCTAGTAAAGACCTGGATTCATGACTATTTTGAGGCAAATTGTAGGCATGTTTAAATTTAAGAGCTTATTCTTGTACTATACAAGCTTATAAGCTACATTTCTAGTCTAAGAGAGGTAGGGTGAACCTTTTAAACAATGTTTTCAATCACTTGATTGATGCTGGCAATTGTTGGGCTCATAAAACAATTGCTGATTTCTTAACTACCCTTTCCAAAGGTTGTAGCTTCATCTTTCGTTTTCTTTCCTTTAGGTTGATGAAATCATGATGACTTTGAAACAAGCGTTCACAGTAGCTGCTGTCCAACAGACCTCCAAAGCACAACTCCAGCTCTGCGAAAGCTGTCCTATGCAGAGCCTTCATAAACTTTGTGAAAAGATAGAAGGTACAGATTGTGCAGTGTGGTACCTACTTAGAAGTGTGTTGTGGAGTACTGCTAAGTATAGCAACAAAAATAAAGTGCTTTATCATTTGTTCATGATCCTGTTATGCCATTTTGCTTGTGCAACATTTGTTTGTGCAAGTGGAGCTGCTTCTTCCAACATCAGTGTAAATTTTATTCAATTTCTACAAGTAGTTTTCACAAGAAAGGCATCACAAGGGGGCATTATCTAAGGCTGGAAAAGCAGGAGAGCATTATATAGGGCTGAAAACAGAGTGGGGGGCTTCCCATTTCCATTCTTGGCTTTAGAAGGATAGAGAGGATACAGTTGTTCTGTAGAATGTGGGCACCAAGGAGTCATTTACAAGTGTGGCTGCAGGGAATCACAGCACTGGTGGGAAAGAACTATGGCTCCTATCACAAGAGGGACATGATTGTATTTACATACTTTAGCAACTTTTCTGGAAACAAAGCTAACAGTGTTAGGTGAAGGTGGGCAGTCCTTCGTTGCCCACAAGCTGAGGATTGAAGGAATGAGAGAGTGGATGGGCCACTACACTTCATCCTTGGTAGCAGACAGGTGTTCCTGGGTTTATCAACCACAACCCATCTGCCACTACTGTCACTCCTTATGTTGGAAGGATAAAAGGAGATGAACCTCCAAACAGTGGGCCAATGTCTTCTATACTGCAGCCTGCTGTTGATGTATCTTCTTTTCTGAAGGATATGCTATTGTGTACTGGGCATACTTATGGTCATGCATCACAAAGGGCTGTGGGTCATCCTCATAGTTTCCTGGAGCTATTTTTGTGGCACAAGAGATAAGGGGGAACAGGCATTACTGTCTTCAGCCTGTTGTTGAATTTGGGGCAAGAATTCAGAACTGAAATAGAGCAAGGTTTTATTCATAGCACCTACATTAGTCTTACGGGAGATTGTACAATGGCATACTTGAGCAATAAGTCAAGAAGTCTGGTAGCAGTTATCACTCAGTTGGCATGTACTAAGACTTAAATGCCCTTTGTACTTAAAATTAATTCTTCATCTTGAGCAGTTTTTGAAGTTTGGTAAGAAATCCTGGCTACCCAAATGCCAGTAGCTGTAATGATACAAATTTGGAGTGGAGGTTCACACCTATCTTTTCCACTGCATGTGTGCTTGTATAGTACAGTGGTGTCCCACATAGCGACGTTAATCCGGTCCGGATTAAGCGTCGCTATGCAGAAACATCGCTAAACGGGCCGGGAAAAGCCATAGGAACGCATTAAACTTTGTTTAATGCGTTCCTGTGGCTCCCAAACTCACCGTTCAGTGAAGTTCCTCCCTAGCGCCGCCATTTTCGCGCCCTCGGTAAGCGAGGGCAGAGCACGACAACACTTGCGGCGGCCATTTTGGGCACCTGGCGGCCATTTTGGAATCAGCTGTTTAAAAAAACACCACAATGCGAAGATCGGTAAGCGAAACGCTTACCGATCATCGCAATGCGATTTTAGGCCATAGAAAACATCGCAATGCGGATTCGTCGTTAAACGGTGCACTCGTTAAGCGAGGCACCACTGTAATTTTAACTCAGGAGGTTGTGGTGACCCGTGTATACCTGGACCTTAGTTCACTATCGCTGCTTGTGCTGCTCATCTTTGAGTGACAGGCAAGTCTGTTGTTCTCATGCCCTGCCGTTGACCTCAGTGTGCTGACAGAGTTGCAGTTGAGATGCCTTGTCTGAATTAGCACAGCTTGAGTAGTGTGTGATTAAGTATCTGCAACAGGATTTTTTTTGCTGTTGTTTACTCTATATGTGTTTACTTGCTAGGGATGCATCCTTCCAAAACTAAACTAGAACTCCAAAAACATTTATCAATACTGAATAACCAGGAGCAGGCCTTGGTGTTTGAGGAAGTTCAGGTAACCCTCTTTTCAATATCTTGTTGTCAATATCTTTTCAATTTCTTCTTGTCATCTGGGAAAATATGCCATGGATTTTTTTATATTGATATTGAATCTTCACTTAGCAGCAACATGCATAAATTAATGTTTACTTGGGTTTAAGAGATAAAATGATAGTTTATAATTTATTGTTTATAAAACTTCACACAATAGCAACAGTGTTTGCATTTTTTAAAGATGTGTTGGTGTTTGTTCTCTTAACACTGGATTTTCTTATTTATTATTTATTTACTACATTTATATCTTCCTTTTCCACTAATATATAGCACTCAAGGTGACTTACAGACTTCTTAAAAGAAAAAAACAAACAGATAAAACCACATTTAGCTAAAAGTCATAAAATCTAACCAATCTCAGTGTAAAAGAGTTAAAATAAGTAAATACATTAAAAACAGTTGGAATGTGCAAAAGATATAATTAAAACAACCCTGCGGGCAGGATGCACAATATAAACCAGTCTAAAAATATGTGGTTTTACTTTTTTCTTAAAATTAATCAGAGTGGAAAGAGATTGTAACTTGGAAGACTGTATGTTTCCTCATCTGCTTCTCCAAGCAGGAGAAGGCCTTCTCTCATGTACTTTTTAAAATGTGTTGGTATTTTTAAGGGCCTCTCTTGAAAATTCCAGTCAGGTTTATAACAAGATAGACAGTCTCTTAGATATCTACCATGTTTCCCCGAGAATAAGACAAGGTCCTGACCCGACCAGATAGGCGGGATATAAATAAAATAAATAATAAATAATAAGAAATAATTTTTCCTCCAAAAAACGCATCAGGACTTATTTTCAGGGGATTTTTTTTTATGTATAACAATCTACATTTATTTAAATACAGTCATGTCATCTTCTGGTTGCTGCACATCTGGTTGCTGAGGGCAGGGTTTCACTTAACTAGGGCTTATTTTGGGGTAGGGCTTATTTTCGGGGAAGCACCAAGCCATTTAGGGCTTTAAAGGTGAAGACCAACACCTTGAATTGAGGTGTCCTGTGCATCTTTAATATCTCTATTTCTCTAAAGCAGCAGTCTCCAAACTTTTCAGTATGAGGGCCACATCATATATTTTATACATTTTCGAGGGCTGAAGGAGGGAAGGGGGATCGCTTAGGTCCCTCTTCCCTCCTCTTCCTATCCCTGGGCTGGATAGAAAGGGAAGGTGGGCTGGATGTGGCCTGTGGGCCATAGTCTGGAGACCCCTGCTCTAAAGCAATGGTTCCGAACCTTGGATCCCCAGATGTTCTTGTAGTACAGCTTCTGTAAGCCCTGACCAGCACATCTAGTGGTGAAGGCTTCTGGGAGTTTGAGTCCAAGAACGTCTGGGGCCCAAGGCTGGGAACCACTTCTCTAAAGGCTAAAAACATGTGTATATGTTTGTCGAAAGCTTGGCATCTGGGCCAGTTGGTTGTTTAAACAGCCATTTCTTTTTCTAGCTAACTGTATACTGTTTGGGATGTGATTGCCATCTAGTGGCATTTTATTATACAAGCACCAATTCTATTATCTAGTTTGGTATCTTCTTTTCTTTTTATAGAAAATGAGACCAAGAAATGAACAGAAGGAAAATGAGTTAATAATCTCTTTCCTACGACATGTTTATGAAGAAAAACAGAAAGATCACACTCACCTCTATGAAGCCAAGCATGTAGGCAATTATAGCTACTTATTTTCCTTTCTTATTGGTGGAAAATGCTGTGTGGAACTGAGTCAAATTCCTCCTATGACACACGCAATTAGCCCTTAACAATTTGTCTCTTCATTTGAGACGCTATCTATAATTTCTGCTTTGTTAGAAATGGAATATTAATTTTATGCATGCATGCATTCTTATGGAAAGAAAAATAATAATAAACTAATCCATATAGCAAATAGTTAATTATTCATTATTGCTGTGGGTAAGTTCTAATTTTAGAGTAGTAAACATGAATACCACATGATGGGAAAGATGGGAAGATGCCACAATAACATGACTGCTCTTTTTAACCAACTTTTGTTCTGTTAATTTCTATTTTTTTAATTCTTATCTTAACTTCCTAGACCTCACAACCATCAACAGAGACCACAGGAAATGAGATTCCAAGCAGCACACCCCGATTCAGGCTAGATGTATTAAGGAGCAAAGCTAAAAGGTCACTTACAGAGTCATTAGACAGCATTTTATCTCGAGTAAGGTTCTTGCACTTCTCTCATATTGTATTTAATGGAATGATTTTCTGTTCTAAATTCCCAGTTGAAATAATTAGATATCAAACCTGTTACAGTGGTGCCTCAACTTACGACCATAATCCATTCCAGAAGATGGACGTAACTCGAAATGGCTGTAAGTCGAAGCACCATTTCCCATAGGAATGCATGGGAACGCAATTAATCCATTCCAGCATTTAAAAACACACACACACACACAAAATAAAGCACACAGAAAGCCCTATCGGAAGGCGCTGGGGCTTTAAAAACAACAACAACAAATAAACATCAATCCCCACACTGGGACTGAAAAAAAAAAGCACAGAAATATAACCCCACCCTGCAAAACCCACCCAGAAGTTTTTAAAAAGCAAAAACAGCACCTTACCAGGCAGTCCGAAGCCTCCTCCAATGGCACTCACTTCCCGGCTGCAACTGAGCCACGGTGGATTGCGGCTGGCAATGGGTCCTGGCCGGCAGCATAGGCCAACCGAGGTGGTGGCGGCGGGGCCAGCTATGGCGGAGTGAGAGGCTGGGGCAGAGTGCCCCGGCCAGGAGGAGCCTCTCCTTCCAGCACCTGGCAGAGGGGGGCGGGCACAGCCATGATGGCAGCCCAGGCCAGGCTCAGCCTCCCGGCACCAGGCTGCCGCTGCCCTGTCCCTTGAGGAGCCCCTCTGACCCACGCGCTCCAACCCAGCCCAGTCCAGGGCCTTTAATGGCCCTTACTCACGAGTTGCCAGGTTGGGGATGGGCAGGGGGTGCACCGGCTTCTTGCACCCGGTGGCAATCCAGAGCCGCCCCCGCCTCTCCTTCCTCCTGCATCACTGATTCCGCATGCCCCGTCCCCAGAGGAGCCCCTCTGATCCGCGCACCCCACCCCAGCCAGCCCAGGGCCTTACGCGTGAGTCACCGGGTTGGGGCTGCTGACCCTTCCCTCAGGCCGCCCATCCAGGTAAGCAGATCGTTCCCCAGCACACCCTTCAGCCGGATGAGGCCCCCTCAGTCAAAGCTGGGGCTTGGCCTTTGGGGAAGGGAGGATGGCAGGAGGGGTCTCCCCTCTTTTAGGGGGGTCTGCGAGCAAGATGGGGAGGGCAGACCCGAGAGCCTCCCTCCCCCCTGTGTATGCGAAGGCAAAGGAGAAGAGAGAAAAGGGGATCTTCAAAGTATCCTTACCAGTACACTTTAGTTACCCTCATTTTCAACTATTACTTATTTCTCATGTGTTGAATCTTTGCTAATTGCCATTAAATGCATATTTAGCAGTGGTAGTATTCATGTAAACAGCTGTGTTTGAAAGGTGTGTCTGAAGAAGAAGAAAAAACAACCATGTGTAGAAAAAGCTGTTGACTCTCTTAGAGTGAAAGTTATTTTTTTACACTAAGCAACAGGTTTTCAGCCCCCCAAAAAACTTACCACAATTTTGTGTGCCTAACCATTAAATCAAATTCCATTTGATTTGATCTGTGCTGGCCACTGGAGTATTCTGCTGCCAGTTAGTTTGTATATTTACATTATATTTTATGCTTGATTTTTTTGAATTCATCAGTAGTTTTGAATTATATTGAACACTGCTTAAGAAACAAATATTGGTGTAAAGGTGGGCAGAATTTTTTTGAAGTGGATATTTAATCATCGGTTCAGTAGTTCAAAAAGATCCAAGCTCATTTGTTTCAGGATAAAAATTAGTGATTATCTATGAATCAGATATTACTTGCCAGTTGGTTGTTATTTCTTAAATTATTCATAAATGCTGAACAGTTCCCTGTGAAGTCAACAACTGCATGTACATAAATGTAGAGGGCCATTCTTGATAAAACTGGGTTTTAACTGGGTTTTATTCAGTTTGATTCCTGGTTTTCAGGAAGGAATACTGCTTAGATGGCTTGAAATGTGCTTGTTGCAATGATAAATAAAGTATACTGATAATAATTGTGAATATATTGCAGGTATTCATTCACTGATTGGCAAGTTCTTAAAACAGCAAAAAAAAATCCACCAGTTCTATAGCTAAGAAAAAGGAGCACTTAATAAATTTCAGGTAGTCATGTTTTGTTAGTTTCCAAGTTGTTCTCAAAGGTCAACACGAGTGTCATTTCTGCAAGAGTCTGTTATTTCTTATACAGAGTAAAGCTATTCTTAGTTCATACAGAAATAATTACCCCAATACAGTGAGTCTTCATAGTTTAATTCCCCCCCCCAGCATTGTTGCAGGCAAACCAATTGTGTTGGTTTATAGATTCCTTGTCTATGCCAATCTAACATGATGATTTTCTTGTTAGGGAAATAAAACAAAAAGTCAAGCAGAATGTTCTGGAAGTATTGATTTGGATAGCTCGTTATCTAGCACACTCAGTACCACAAGTAAAGTAAGTACACTGCATGCTAAATAGGTAAGGTAAAAAGTATGCTAAATACCGTGTTTCCCTGAAAATAAGGCAGGGTCTTATATTAATTTTTGCTCTAAAGAAACTCATTGGGGTTTATTTTCAGGGGATGTTTTATTTTTTTCATGTACAACAATCTACATTTATTGAAATACAGTCATGTCATCTTCTGGTTGCTGCGCAGTGGTAAAGGGGTGGGGTTTCACTAAACTGGGGTTTATTTTGGGGTAGTGCTTATATTACGAGCATCCTGAAAAATCATACTAGGGCTTATTTTCAGGCTAGGTCTTATTTTTGGGGAAAGAGGGTAATAAACAAAAAAAGACAGTAAATGTAAATAGACTCTTGATACTCTTTCTAGAATACCTTTAAAGAGAGTGTTACATTTTATTTTTAAAGCTATAAGCATTCTGTTTTATTTACTATATACTTGATAATAAGCCTAGAAACAATATTATCCCATAAAATGGGACCACTTACTGCACGTTCATTAGATTCTGGTATATCAATTATTTGAAGGAAAAGAGAAACCTCTCTTTTTTATGTTGGAAAAGTGTCCTGCTTGATCATTTAAGGGTGCAACTCCACAGCGGGGAAAATGCCAATGAATCCACTATGAAATTGTACCTCCTCCTGGAGGAATTCATTTCAGCTGAACACACAGCCATCAGCAGAGAGAGGGGCAGAGAGTGGCTTGTTTGCATTTTGTTAAGGTAGCTCTGCTATAGCTGTCCAGGTTTTTTGTTTGTTTGTTTGTTTGCTTATTTGTTTAAAAAAATTTTAGTCTGCCTTTTCTTAAAGGACCTATGTTGGCTAACATCATTAAAATGCAATATTAAAACTAAAAACAATGAATTATTCAAATAATAAATGAATTAATAATATTATATAATTAAAGTTAGGTAAAGCACTACTCCTTCATGGATTGATGCCTTGTCGTGGCGAAGGGGCTTGAGTAATTCAGAGAAGCTATGGGCTATGCCATGCAGGTACATCCCAGACGGACAGGTCATAGTGGAGAGTTCTGAAT